GGGGGGGGGGGGGGGGGCACGGGGATGATGAAACACAAAAAAACTAGCAACAAAAAAACCCCACACCAAGGCAGACAAGTAGTGTTTCGTATTAACATCTATTCTCAATGAAGAGGTAAAAATCAAAGCCCCTGTGTGTGCGGCAGGGTTAGTGAACTGCCAGTGATTCTCCCAGCAACTGACACAAAGGAATCTGTGAGTATCAAAGCTGAGGCAGCAAGCTTAGTGTCAGCTCTTGCCTAGGGAGTAGAAGAAAACATCACTTTGTCTCTGCTTTCACTGCTTAAACACACACATCATTCACTAGTAACCATTTACTCTGTTGTCAAAACTGTTTCAAGAGAGTGCTACATTTGATTAATAGTAAAATGCATGCAAAAAAAAAAAAAAAAAAGTCTGCTTCCTCTGAGGCACTTTGCTTTGGAGAATTAATTTTTCCATCCTATAAATATGCCTGTAGTATTCCAGGAGTACACTGCTGCTTCTAGTAAAGTAGTTTTTATTAGAGAGCCCAGCACACTCATCCTAATTCTAGTTAATTCTCTCTCGGTGAAGCATATTACGGCATCCTCAGCCTCTTGTACTAACGAAGAAGTGACCAGCACAAACATGTGTGCACTACATGATTCATAGTGCTGCTTTCTGAATTGTCCAGTGGGTAATTGCAGTACAAAAAACAGAGAAACAGATGTAGACCCTAAACCTAGGCTGTAAATTTTTGTTTTATGATTATGGGTTTCAAATGTGCTATGTCACACTGACAAATATACAGTAACACCAAAGGAAATAGATTTCTGACTTGAACTTTTGCTTTTTATTTCACTTGTGTCTAAGAATATGTTTATTGTAAAGTTTCTCCCATCACAGTCTGAGAGAAAACAGATCAAAGCAGTGATGTAAAATCACAATTTCTTTGCATGGATAAAGTGGAAGATATTGGAGAGTTGTTGCCTACTAGCACCTTTATGGGAGCTGTGTAGGCATTTAAAATATGTGGCAATACTTAAAGTTTCATTACATTTGAATTAGAAGACTATTAGTTATCACAATAATTATGGCTAGTTCTGATCTAAATTAGAAAATACCTCCCATTTTATGAATGTATCTTTTCCCGATACTCTGTTTAAGAAAAAATAGTATCGTGCTATTTGAGTGAAATATGAGATATATAAATCACTGTATTGTAGAAACAATATGCAAGCAAACCATTAGACTATTTGAAGAATTTGTTAATTACATGTGATTTTAGTAATAACTATAAGCATTAGCAAAACTATTATTCGTAATAAAACAAGATGAGCTACCTGGCTCATTTAGATACAGTGAGAAAAAGCAATCTATTTTAATTCACACACAGTTAAGCATGAGTTCCTGACATTTACTTTCAGAAGTTGCCAGTCTACATTTTGAGGTACAACAAACAGGTTTTATTTTTAAATATGGTATTATAAGACTGCTAATGGAATAAACATAACTGTATTTGTTTATATGATTTTGTTTATTTTAACTCACATGGGCAATATGTTTTTCTTGGCATAAGCTTCAACTGTTCCAAGAGCCTTGGTCCACACAAAATGCTGCTTTCTCCCTAAATTGGAGACAAACATTTTGTGTCATCCTTTCCAGTTATTTTTGTGGTGATACATTACGTGTTCCAAACTTCTCATGTGTCCTGTGTTGTCTGGTTAGAAAATACTGTCTTTTAATTTAGTCTTGCTATTCAAAACAAAATTGTAGCAAAATAAACAGCTGAGATTTTAACAAAAATTTAGCCACTTTTCCACTTTCCTTTTTAATATAGTAAACGCTGCTTGCTGTGCTGAAATGGTTTAAACAAGCCTTCCCCAAAGGGTGGCTTTTTCGATAAATGCGCACTGCGCGTAATTTTTGGATTACAGAGTGTCAGGGGCTTCTTCAGATGTGGAAGAGTCTGGGCTGGGGGAGGACACCCCAATGGACTGAGAATGTCCTTTAAAAAGACAGTGTTAAACTCCAGCATTTGTAACTCTTCTGCCTGGAGGGGAGGATGGGAAGAGAGGCAGCCTGCTGCAGGGACAGCCAGAGCTCTCTCTGGTTGGAGGGAAAGGAGGCTAAGAAAAGCTTTTGTTTTTATCTCTTCAAACGGATTCACCTCCAGATTGCAATAGGTCTGTTTGCTGGCTGCTGGTTTTCAACATGGGTATATCGGTTTCAGGGAACAAGTGCGTGTGCTGTGTGTGGAGTTTTGTTTTGGGGTTTTTTTTTATAAATTCTTGAACCTGTGTGAAAAGTTTTGTTAATACAATCTGCAGGCATTGTCAGAGAGCTTTCGGTTCATCAAAGGACTTTTTGTGGAGAAGGGATACCGCATCCATTAAAGTGGCTGCACAGGTCCCAGAGTGAGTCTCTCCCCAGCATTTCCTTACGGTTGCCAGTTGTGTGCCATGTCTGTGCACTCTGCCTGACTCCCATCTTGGGCTTTTCAAGAAGCAGGCAGCAATCGAGGGTTTCGTTTTCCAGTTTCGGAACTCAAGCTAGCTTTGGGGCGGGAAGCGAGGCTCCTCCGTGCCTCGGGAAACCTTGCTCCGGGCCAGTGCTCAGTCCACCGAGGCTGAGGCAATTTGGCTTATTCACTTAAAATGAAGGCGTGCACGTGGTCGTTGAGCTCGTGTCCTTTCCAGTGGGGCAGAGGGAGTGTTTCTAGGCTGTTGTTTTTCATTTTGCAAGTGTTGATAAGAATGAAGCCTGGCAGAGGCCTCGATGGAGTCTTTGTGAGCAGGACTTTGCAGTAGGTGGTTATTTACCTAAAAATCATAGGGCTACTTGCTGGCGTGATGCAGATGGTGGGCCAGCATCGTGCTGGCTGTGGTGTCCCGGCCACAGGTATCTGGGAAGGCCTTGTCACCTACCTGCCACGGGAGAGGGCTGCTGGCAGCCTGGTTTTGCAGAGATGTCAGTGGGTGTTTCGGTGGGAGCAGCCCCATGCCTTCAAAATGGCTGTGAGGGGCTGGCCAGGGCTGCGGCCCCAGAAAGGAGGCAGCCGCGGTCTCCCCTCCCGCCACCCTGGTGTGGGTCCCATTCCCCATGGACGTGCTGGTGGCGTCTCTCCGCTCCCGGGGAGCTGGGGCTCATTAGCCCTCTGAAAGCTGATACAGCCCCTCGGGGGCCACGGGAGCGGCCCCGGCCCCTCTGTGCTAATCAGAGCCAGGCAGGACCCGGCGGCAGCTGGGCTGGGGAGAAGCGGGGATGTGGGGCTGCCTCCGGCCCTGGCCTGAGTGGGGGGGACAGGCCCTCCCAGGCAAATGGGATGCCTGACAAATCTGGCCCATCGGGGAGGCCTGGGAGCGCTGCGTGACTTTGGGAGCCAGGGTAAGGGATGGTGAGGAGAGGTGGAACCTGACCCCCCCGCCCCAAGAGCGACGGGCAGTGAGGTCCCCGCCGGGAGTGGGGCTGGCACCGGTGACCGTCGCTGGTGGTGGCATTGATCGGGAGTCCCTGCTGGGGTGTGCTGCTCCAGGAGTTGGGGTGAAGCCCGTGTCCACGGCTCTGGTACGGTGGCAGATGCTTGCGCCTTGCTTGCGGCCTCTGCACGGAGGAAGGGCTGTCTCT